CCACCCCCGCATTCCTCAGGGAAGCCTATATTTGTCTCTACACAAATATTTGTGGGAGAAGCCCTCTAAATATAGACGCACCTGTGAGCGTACTCGCATACGGGTGTGTGTGTGTGTGTGTGTGTGTGTGTGTGTAAGCCGGTCTCTGTTTGCATCTATTACCGCGCGTCTAATAGACACAAACACACACATGTGTGTGCGCATCCACGCGCGTGCAGGTGTTCACCTGAGTGGGTCCTGACCCGTCATCGCTGCCAGATGAGCAATGCTCCCGGGGCCGCTTCAGCTCCAGCAGCGCAGAATGGCTGCCTCTACAGCCACGATCACATCCCAGGGCGTTTGTTGGGCCTGGCAGATAATAGCGGTGGGTGTCGCTTTTTTTATTCGAAGACGGATGGCTGCTCCTTCCCCCTGTACATCCTAATGAGGACAATTAAGTAGCCATTAGGGGGAGAAAAGAAGTGTGAACAAAGGCTGAAAGGTTCGGAGTTCCCGTTGTGAGAAGTCCTAGGGACCTATAGCACAGCGCCCTGCACGGTTAGCATGCTGTATTATATGCGCCAGGATCTGTTAGGAGGGTACAGCTCATGCTAAATGTTCGCATCACAAAAAGAGAGGGGCCCCTGGCCGGTGGATAGAGCATCGGCCTGTGGACTGGAGGGTCCCGGGTTTGATTCCGGTCAAGGGCATGTGCTTTGGTTACAGGCTTCATCCCCTGGTCAGGGTACGGAAGGCAACCAATCGATGTATCTCTCTCACATTGATGCTTCTCTTTCTCTGTCTCTCCCCCTCCCTTCCACTCTCTCTCTCTCAAAAAAAAAAAAAAAAAAGGGAAGGAAACTGTTAATTAGAGGTGATAGATAGTTCAGTGTATGGCATTGTGGATGGTGATGGTTTCATGGAGTGTACTCACCTTCAAACTCAAAGCGTCGGCCTGCAGACTGAAGGGTCCTGGGTTCAATTCCCGGTCAAGAGCACATCCCCGGGTTGCGGGCTCGATCCCCAGTAGGAGGCGTGCAGGAGGCAGCCGATCCATGATTCTCTCTCATCATTCATGTTTCTATCTCTCTCTCCCACTCGATTCCTCTCTGAAATCAATAATATATATTTTTTAAAAAAGAGTAAAATGTTTACTTGTGGAACTTAGCCCTTTGAAAGGCTTCAGAATCCCCTCCAAACCTGGCCTATGGCCTGGACTAGTGGCAGGCGGATGGATCGCAGGATGAGGCAAAGGAGGAGAACGATCAAGCCGGGCTCCCATGCAATGGCCATGCCTGCCCCCAGAGCACCATTAATTCCCCCTTTTTCTGTCTCTCCTGCAGAAACCTGTCGAGTAACCGGCTCACCACACTCTCTTGGCAGCTCTTCCAGACGCTGAGTCTTCGGGAATTGTAAGTCCGGTGTTGGAGACCGCCCAGCCTGGCGGAGTGGGGGTGGAGGTTGGGTGGGGAGTGTCGAGCAGCGGAGCCACCCGGGGCTGGGCGTCTCCTGAAGGCGCTGCTGGGGTTGGTGACGTGGGGTGTACCATGTTCAGTGAGAGTCCTCCAGCCCGTTGCTTGATTTCGGATGCTCTTTCCGGCACCTCACAGTTCCTAAGACAGGAATCTCGCTCTCAGCAGGACCCAGTTTTGTCATCGCTGGGTGATCAGTGCTAACGGCATGGATGTTTGTAGGAGGAAAGGGCATTGATCAGTTTATGGTAAATAACACGGATGCTGTCGAACCTTGCAGTGGATCAGGCATGCGTTCGTTTCCTGGACCTTAGCTTTACCGCCACAAGCATCCTGGGCGGCAGGCGGCGTGCTGCTTCCTTATGCTGTGGGCCGCTACACGTTCAGGTGTGGGTTCTGAGCCCAGAGAGTCATAGGAGACGCAGCCAGATCACACAGCGAGGGCCTGGCAGAGCCGGGCCCTGAACCCGGGCCTCTGACCTCCGTTTGCTCGTCTTTCCCACCTCCCATTCTCTGCCGGACTGTCTGGCTTGAGCGTGGGCATCGGTCCGCCTGTGGCCTGCTTAGCCTTGCTGCGTTTCTAGGCGGATCAGTGCGCCCCTTCCCCGGCCAAACACATCATGGTGGATGAGTGGAAATTCGTGAGCGCTGCCGAACCAAACAGCTCCTGTTGGTGCGTGAGTCATCGGGGCATCTCTGCCCGAGGGACAGCGAGTGATGTTGAGGGAATCAACCAGGGAATTCATTGCGAAGGAGCTGGGGAGCATGAACTTAGGGAGTCAGGGTTCCAGAGACTCAGCTCGTGCTCCCTGTGGCTCATGACTCGGGCCCAGGTCCCTGCATGCAGACTGCCTCCCTGCCTTCACCACCGACAGTGGCTGGGAGCCTGCCACACGGTGGCCTTTAGCACGTGTCCTTCCAGCTGGTCCGGCCCGAGTTCCTTTTCCGACCCAGCGTCGGGGAGGGGAACACTTCATCCAGCGTCCCAGCAGCCCATCACCCTTTGGCCGTGTCTACCCTGCTCACCCCCATGGGCATCGTGCCCTCGAGGCTTAAGGCCCCGCCAGGGCCGGGCAGGGCACGGACTGTCTCGTTGCCCGTGTCGGAGAGTTCGGGCAGTCCTGCTGCGGGTTGCTTTCCTTTCTCAGGACTTTGCCCTCCCACCGGCTGCTCCTCTTGTGTGGGCACAGTAGGCAAGGGGATCAGGGTTCCTTAGTCCCGTGGGGCTGTGGCCAGGGGCACACCAGTAGGAACTCCTACCCGAGCTCGGAACAAGGTAAGTGCATACGTATTTGTGTATAAAGCACGGAAACGCTAGACGGTCACAGACATCTGACTGTCAGGTGGTTACACGCGAGTGTTGTCTGCGTTCCCATCTTTGAAGGTAGAAAAGCCCTCAGAGGTAACTCAACAGGCGGTGCCGTTGCTAACGCTGTTTCTCAGGACCCACTCTGGGCAGGCACTGGGCCAGCCAGTCTATCGAGTGTTGGGCGGTACTTGCTTCAGTCCTTACAGAAATTCTACAGGGAGGAATTATTACTGTCATTCACACTGGGAACACTGAGGTACTTAGGTTAAGTATCTTGTGTAAGGTCACCCATTAACTCAGTGGGTAGCCTGTGGACTCAAGCTCTTGACCATTGTGCTCAGCTATCTCCCAACTTCTTTAAAAATTGCATTTATTGGGGTGACATTGGCTAATAAAATTATATAGGTTTCAGGGGTACAATTCTATAACACGTCATCCGTACAGTGTATTGTGTGCTCACCACCCCAAGTCAGGTCTCCTTCCATCATCATCATCTGTCCACCCTTTATCCTCTTCTACCTCCCCCCGCCTTTCCCAGTGTTTTCCGTCTGTTTCCAATCCAAGGATCTGTTCTACGATAATTTTCAAAGAATGAATGATGGCACTTTTTCCATATGTAGCCCTAGGAGTGATCAGGGGCCCTGACATAAGTGAGCTAATTGGGGGCTCTCTTTTTTGGGGGAGTCTTGCATCAAGTTACCCTGGAGTGCCTGAGCCCAGCACCTGTGGGCGGCCAGGGACAGATGTTCTCTCCTGGGATCACCTGGGGCCTGCAGTTGCCTACACTATTGAGAAAACGTTCAGAAAAATCAATGGATGAGAAATCCGTGGCGTGCTGTCCTGGCGACCAGTTCTGTGGAGTTTTAGAGACAGTTGTTCGAGGATATATATTTAAAGCCAATGCCAGGCTCCTCCCAGAGGATCATGGGATTCTGCATTCATCTCTGCCCGGGATCGATTCACCGTGCGCTGCATGTGACTTATGGAGGAATGAAGACATTCGTCCGCGCGAGTCAGTGCGTGAGCCCCGGTCCACGGAGCATTTCATTCTGTCGCGCTGTTAAATAGGAAAAGAATTCACTTGTAAGAGAAAGAAGCCCCTCTGAGGAGCCATCGCCCTGGCAGGGGTCTATTTTTTGAGGAAGAATTGAGTGGCCAGAGTGGAAAATTTATCTTTTGGCCGGAGGGGCCGCGTGTTGGCTCTTGGCTGTGGCTATGATTAAAATCCAAACAATCTCAGTTCCTGGCCTGCAGGAGAGGGGGCAGTGTTTTCTTGTCCGACGTCCTGATTAGTCCACATGGCGCCATCTGCCAGGAGCCGTCAGGCTGCCAGGGTCTGCCCGTGGGCCTGTGGGCCCGTGGGCAGGGTGCGGGGTGGGCCGGCTCTGCAGGAAGTTAGAATTTCGTCCCGGAGGAGAGGCCGGAGGAGATGGCTCTGTGCGCTGTGGCAGCCAGAAGGGTGAGGCCGAGGCTCGAGTGACCTTCTGCAGGCACCGAGGACAAACTAGGGCATTCAGCCATTTCTTGCTTTTTAAAAATATCTTTTTATTGAATTCAGAGAGGAAGGGAGAGGGAGAGAGAGATAGAAACATCAATGATGAGAGAATCTTGGATCGGCTGCCTCCTGCACGCCCTCTATTGGGGATGGAGCCCGTAAACCGGGCATGCACCCTGACCGGGAATGGAACCTTGACCTCCTGGTTCATGGGGTGATGTTCAGCCACTGAGCCACGCTGGCCAGGCTCTTTCTCAGTTACTTTTGCACGAGATGGAGGCTGTGGTCTTGGCCCTGCCCCTGGCCCAGGTTGTGTCTCTCTCGCTGAGAGGACTGGCAGCGTCTTCAGAGTTGTCAGCACTGTTCCAGGGCCTGGCTTTGAGGAGATGCGAGTTGGCGTTGCTCAGTGCTCTCAGAAGTTTCTGGTTAAGGCAAGATGGTGTTTTTTCTTACAGGGAAGACTGGAACTGCCTGGCAGAAATCAGAGCAAGAATCCGAGATTATCTTAGAGATAATGAATTGGCAAGGGAGAAGCTTGGATTCTGTGTCCCATGCTGTAATTTAGGCAAGAGGCACGGAGGATAGAAACTGACGGCACAGAACCTTCCAGAAATACCCCGGGGACCATTCCCTTCATGCCCTGCACACACGGCAGGCGTGATTCAAATAGATTGGAATACTTCATTTTCTTAAAGCAAAGTGATCGTTACTCCTGCTACAATTTGCAGATTTAATCGACTTGGTGAAGGGTTAGCTCAGTATCCGGAATGGGGTTGAGCTATCCTGGCGCTATCCTTTCCCAGTCCTGCCCGTGACCACTCCCCACGATCTCCGAGAAGTCACTGAGCCGTCATGTTCATAATAGTGCAATCATCATCATCATCATCTCGGCCTCTTCACAGCCCCTGGTCATTCACAAAGCACGTGAGCACACGTCACTAACCCTCACGATAACTGTGTGAAGAAGGAAGGCAGACACTGTTGCCCCCATTTTACAGACGGGAAAACAGAGCCTTGAGAATTAAGGTCCCGGCTGTATTGCTTTCCCAGCGCTGCCGTCCCATCTCACCACTAAGCTGGGGGGTTAAATAAACAGAAACTGCTTCTCTCACTGCTCTGGAGGCCAGAGTCTAATATCAAGACTCAGCAGGGCACGCTCCCCAGAGGCTCACGGGAGCTCATCTTTCCTGCCATTTCCAGCCTCCCGGCTGGTGGGTCCTTGGGTTGGAGCACCGGCGTCCGTCTTCTCACGCTGTCCGTCGTCCGTCCTTCCCATCTCCTCGTCTTTGGTCTCTCTCCCCACTTTCCCTTATAAAGATGCCCGTCATTGGATTTAGGGTCCACCCTCCATCCAGAGTGACCTCATCCCACGATCCTTGACGTGATTACGCCCGTGAAGACCGTGTCTCTAACGCAGGCTACCTTCACGGGCGCTGGGGATGGGACTCGGCGTGTCCTCTGGGCCGGGGGGCACTGGTCAGTGCACGCTGGCTCCACCCAGGTCTTCTGGGTGCTTTTCCTGCCACCGGACTGTGTTGTCAGGAGGCCCTTGGCCCTGTGGGCATGCGCTCCTCTGTGACAGCAGACCTGGTCCCTTCCTCAGTTTCCACGTCCTGGCCCTGGCCGGCAGCCATGCTGTGGGGGAGGGGAAACCAGAGGCGACTGCTGAGCATCCAGGCTTCCTTAATGCCCAGCCTTGGCCGAGGCCCCCAGCAGGGTGTCTGGCGCACATGCCCCAGGGGGCCGAGCGAATCTGTGGAAGCCCCAGGGCCCTGCCATTAGTCCCGAGCCATCTGGGGGCAGGGCTGGGTGTGGGCCGTCTGCATTATTGATGAGAGGGAGGGCCGCCCTGGAGGGTCCCTGTCTGTCCCTGCAGCGGCTGAGCTCCTGGCTGGGGCCCGGTCTCCTGGGCCTGCCCTGCTCTGCCCTCAGGATTGCTCAGGGGAGGCCACTGCTGACACCACATGCTTTCTGCTGCGTGTGCCTCGCTGTCTGGGAGGAAAGTGCAGACAGTTCCCAGGAGGCTCTGGGGCACAGGCGAGGACGGGTCTCGTGTGCGAACCTCCTGCTGGATCAGGTCCTAGAGGGAAGAGTGGAAGGAAACGAAGGTGCTGCTCGTGGGCCGTGCTGGCCTGTCTTAGACACAGACCGCTCACCTACCTCCCCTCCCCCGCAAGGAGCCGCCCTGGCTCAGGAGCCCCCTCCCCTCTCCTTGCCCACAGGAGGTTGGAGCAGAACTTCTTCAACTGCAGCTGTGACATCCGCTGGATGCAGCTGTGGCAGGAGCAGGGGGAGGCCAAGCTGAACAGCCAGCACCTCTACTGCATCAGCGCCGAGGGCTCCCAGCTGCCCCTGTTCCGCATGAACATCAGCCAGTGTGGTGAGTGCACCGCCCGCCGCCCGCTGCCCCGGGGAGGGAGGCGGCCCTCAGACTCCAGAGAGGGCACCCCCTCCCCTCCGCCCTCCCCGCCTTGAACTGGGCCCTGGCGCAGATCCGGCTCATCTCTCCCCTCCTGGGCATCCCTGTCCTCTCCTGAGCCGCCACACAGAGGCTGGCAGAGGGGTTCAGTGCGCCCCTTCTCATCAGACCCCAGTACCTCCTGCCTGGGAGTCACTTGCCAGCCAGACCTGAGCACGTGTCTCCTCGCAGTGTGGCCCCGGACCTTCTGTATCAGGAGCGTCTCAGGTGCTTCTAGAAAAGCGGGTGCCTGGGCCCAAGCACAGACCGCGACCTCAGGATGCCTGGGGTGGTCCCCAGGATCTCAGAGCTCATTTTGGGGGACCAGCTCCCCAGGTGGAGCTGTCACCTGACTTCTGGCTGGAGCTGCCTCCCCGTCCGTGCCGTGTGGGGGAGTCCCACCACAGCGGCTTCAAGTCCGAGGGTGGTGTCCGCGGGGGAGGGGGTGTCAGGCCTCTGAGAGCTCCGGTGGGTGATGTGGCGTCACTGTTGGGGGCCGCATTTTGGGCGTCAGTGTCTGCCTGTCCTCTCCACCCTGTCCGCCCTCCAGACATCCCGGAGATCAGTGTGAGCCACGTGAACCTGACCGTGCGGGAGGGCGACAACGCTGTCATCACGTGCAATGGCTCTGGCTCGCCCCTGCCCGATGTGGATTGGATGGTCACCGGGCTGCAGTCCATCAACACCCACCAGGTAGGCACCTGGGCCTGGGCTGCACCAGGAGGCTGGGCCCCACCACCTCTTAGTCTGAATGAGGCGCAAGAATCCAAGCCAGAGACGGGAAGTGAGGGAAGAAGAGGGACAGTCGTGGTCCCGTCTCTCCAGGAGGGACACGGAGACGTGCTCTTAGACGTGCTATGAAACTGCTAAGCACCTTAGTTTGCGCACCTGTAAAATGGGTACAGTGCTGCCATGCACCTCAGCGGGTACATGGGAGGCTGAGCGAGCCCTTGACTGGAGAGAGCCCCGCCCTCGGTCAGTGCGCGTTCGCCGGATGAGCCTCCTTTACTTTCCACTCAGTTTTTCCTTTTTTAAAAAAATACGTTTTTATTGATTTTTAGAGAAAAAGGATGGGAGAGGGACAGAAACATTGATGTGAGAGAGACATGGATTGCCTGCCTCCTGCACGCCCCCTACTGGGGATGGAGCCCGCAATCCGGGCATTGAATGCCCTGACCTGGAATCGAACTGTGACCTCCTGGTTCATAGGTCATCGCTCAACCACTGAGCCACACTGGCCAGGCTTAGCTTTTCCTTTTGATTCCAGAAGCTGTTTGGGGTGAGGTGGGGGAGCTGCCCTTGTGGAAATGGTCTGATTGCCGTCTTTTTACCGCCGTTTTAGACAAACCTGAACTGGACCAACGTGCACGCCATCAACCTGACGCTGGTCAACGTGACGAGCGAGGACAACGGCTTCTCCCTGACGTGCATCGCAGAGAACGTGGTGGGCATGAGCAACGCCAGCGTCGCCCTCACCGTCCACTGTGAGTGGACGCCATGGAGGGGGTGGCCGTGTGCACGCCAGGCAGCAGGCTGGTCAGCCAGGAGGGGCAAGTCAGTCCTGGGCTAGTGACCCCAGGAAGGGGTGTCCCTGCCTCTCGGACGACGGTGCCTCCCACTCAGCTGTGCCTTCACGACTCCTGGTTTGACCCGTCGGCCTAAAGGGTCGTGAGAGGGAGCCCTCCAGCCCTGGCTGATCAGGGTGCTCGGGTTGAGACAGACATCTCTTCCGCTCTGTTGGGGGGTGCCCGGGGGGCACCTCGGATTCCCTCAGTCTGTTCCGAGCGGGGTGGGGGTCGGAAGTGGGATTCCCGTGCCAGCTCCTGGGAGCTCTGTGTCCTGGCACCAGCTGGCCTCTCCCCGGCAGACCCTCCGCGCGTGGTGAGCCTGGAGGAGCCCGAGCCGCGCCTGGAGCACTGCATCGAGTTCATGGTGCGCGGCAACCCGCCGCCAACCCTGCACTGGCTGCACAACGGGCAGCCCCTGCGCGAGTCCAAGATCATCCGCGTGGAGTTCTACCAGGAGGGCGAGGTGTCCGAGGGCTGCCTGCTCTTCAACAAGCCCACCCACTACAACAACGGCAACTACACCCTCATCGCCAAGAACCCGCTGGGCACCGCCAACCAGACCATCAACGGCCACTTCCTCAAGGAGCCCTTCCCAGGTGAGGCCTGCGCTCTGGGGCGCCCTGAGTCCATCCCGGAGTTCCAGGGGGTAGGGGGAAAAGAGGGGAGAGGATGAACGGGCATGGTGGCTGGAGAGGAAAGGCAGCATCCACAGTGATACTGTTACCATGGTAACCAAGCATACACAGGAGTGTAGTCAGCCACCCCCAGCATTTTGTGTAAAATAGATGAAGTGTCTGGTTTCCAGTAGCTGTCGCTATTCAAACCACCACCCCTGAGAAGTACCCAGGTGGGCACAGGAGGGCATGGCATGTTCCGGTGGAGAGAGCAGGGTCTTGAGAGTTGGACAAGAAGGGCAGAGGCTCTTGACCCAGCCGTCTCTTTGTCGGGAGACTCTGGGCACAGTCGTTTGCTTTTCGGAGCCTCGATTTCCCCATCTGTGAAATGGGCACGATTGCACTGCTCCCGTCATGATCTTGAAGCTTTTAAATGGCTTACGGTGTATAAAGCACACAGTGATGGTTCTCCGCTCTGCTCCGCGTGTAACGGGCGAGTGAGCCAACCTCCTTCTACTTGCTGGTTAGGGTCCAGGCTTCCAGGTCTGCGCGTGGCCCCCTCTCTCCTGCTCTGTGCTGAGCTGATGGGGGTGTCTGATGCTGTCACCTGGGATGTCGCCAATGTCACCTGCACCCGGGTCGTAACTGAAGTAATGAAAGAAAGACCTTTGGATATTTGGGAGGCGATTCTGTCTTTGTCTGGGCGAGAACATGCCAATTACCTTCCTGACGTGGGAGGAGGTCAGGGGAAGTGGTTGCGGCTTCTTCCTTTGGGTTCGGCAGCCGCTGCGTTTCTGTTAAGGAAGCCGTGTGTCTTTGACGGCCGTGGCGATTTGTGCCGGGAACATGCTGGGTGACCTCTGGGCCTCCGGTCCCCAGAAACCGTGGGTTCTAATGGGATAAAGGGACGTGTAAAGTCTGGCACCTCTCTCTCCGTCACGCATGGGCGCGCACACACACGCACACACACACAGAGGCAGGGAGAGGCTGGCTCCGTGCGGCATCTGCTTGTGTGAAGGTGACTGAACAGCCACAGAGAACCAGGGAGCAGCGCCAGGCGGCCTCGTTTATCTTCGTGCAAAAAAACACAACCTGACACACCTCGAACTAGACGCTCCCAGAGGGCGATTGGGGAGAAACCAGGCTGCGTGGGAAGCTGCCTTCTTGCCCCTGCCGTCCGGGGCATGACGGAGCCACAGCTCATCAGACTCGCTGATGTCTGAGACCCCAGTGACCCTGTTTGGTCCCCCGTTTCCAGCGTCACCCCCACTTGGCCCAGTCCCAGGCCTCGGGAACCTTGCAGATGGCCACACCGGCTCTCTTTTGGGAGGCAGAGCGGTCCTGGCCCCCACCGTGGGGGTGGCCTTTGGATGCGAGGGGATGGGGCTCCCAGGGCCTCCACGTGAGTGTGGAACTTGCGGGCACACAGGGCTGCCGTGGCCCTTTCCCTGCCTGTGCTCGTCTCACGGTTGGAGAGGGAATTCTGTTAGGATGAGAGCCTCCACTCCCTGACGGGCGAGGAGTTTCCAAAGAGAAGCCTGGGGCCGAGAGAGAGCGGGCGCAGGGTGCTCAGGACCCGGTGAGTCATGCCGGGCTGCCCCCCCAGCGGCGTCCTGAGGGCCGCGGGCAGCAGGAAGCTGTAGTGGGCACAGCTTTTCCTTTGTCCTAGAGGGCGGGAAGCAGCTCTGTGCATCCTCCCACCACAGACACGGCCTCTGTCCCCAGGGGACGCAGCAGCCCCTTCATACGGGCTGAGGTGCCCTGGTGACCTTATCCCCGCTCCCCAGGCCAGAGCTGCTGGACCAGAAGCCTGGGGCGGCCCGCAGTCTGTGTCTTAACAAGCCTCTAGGTGACTCGGACGCTCCCTGGTTTGTGACCTGCTGCGGGGCGTTTGGTGGACTCTGTCCCCAGGAGGCGAGGGAGGAGGGGGCACAGAGGAGCTCATCTGAAGTCCTTTCCCCGCCAGGGCCACCCTGTGTGAAGGTTTGCTTGTTTTATGCTCCTGGAGGAAGCGGTGGATGATGGAGAGGCAGTGACAGGGGAACGATGGGCCAGTCGTGCCAGTGACAGAGCGGCTAAGCGTTCAGGAGAGTAATTATCTAGGGAACCAGGCAGTGAGCTCACCCCTGCTGAGCCTTGGGTACAAAGGCGGTGTGTGGATGCCGTGAGGATATGGGGACATAATGATCACGTGTACCCCCTTCCCACCCCCCACCCCCCGCTCTCCCAGCTCCCAGGCAGCTCAGCACAGACATTAAGAGCAGGGTTCTGAGCCCGGCTGGTGTTGCTCAGTGGTTGAGCATCGACCTATGAACCAGGAGGTCACGACCTATTCCCAGTCAAGGCACATGCCCTGGTTGCGGGCTCGATCCCTAATAAGGGGCATGTGGGAGGCACCTGATCAGTGATTCTCTCTCATCATTGATGTTTCTTTCTCCCTCTCCCTTCCTCTCTGAAATCAGTAAAAATATATTCATTAAAAAAGAGCACCCCAGGCATCTGAAAGGGAATCTGTTTTGGGAGAAATAGCTCTGACAGTGGGGGTCCCTTTTGTTGATTGTTTATGAGCCCGAGACCCATGGAGGGGCGCCAGGAGGTCTCCCCAGTCCCAGGCGCATGTGCTTGGTGATACATGAGCGCTCCCAGGCTCCAGGCAGGGAGCCGAGCGTGCACGGTGACGACGGGAGGACGTGCCTGGTCCCCGGGAGGCTCCATGCGAAGCAGTGGGGGCTCTGAGTGTGTTGGCACCTCTCCTCTCAGGCTCTGGAGCCAAGGCTGCCCCCCTCTCCTCCGTCCTCCCCCCACATCAGGCCTTCGGTCACCTGTGGTTTAGAAGAGGGTGGTGGCATGCAGGGCACCCTCAGGAATTGGGACTCAGCTCTATAGCTCTCCCCCAGGCCCCACAGAACGACAACAGACGAGCAACCTGTGAACAATGCGCGTAGGGCACGCAGGGCTTCCTCAGAAGGAGCCTGCGCAGAGAGCAGCGCTTTCCGCACAGTTAGAGGGCGTTTGCTGGTGCAGCTTAACCCAGCGCCTGGTGACAGCGAGGGGTTAGCCAGGCCGGAGCACGGGGGACCCTGTGCAGGGAAGGATGGATGGAGGGGTGGGTGGGTGGATGGATGGAGGAAGGAGTGCTCACCCCTCAAGGAGGAAGCCGCCGTAGCCGGGGCCCGGTTAGACGTGCATATTCTCAGACCCAGCCAGCCCAGACCCGAATCCGAAACTCTGTGGGGAAGACCAGTAATCCGTTTCTTTTAAAATTTTTTTAAAAGATCTTTAACTTTTCTCATGGAAATAATTTGAGATGAACTCCCCCTCCCCCGAAAACATACAAAATAGTACAAAGAACTTCCTTCTACCCTTCACCTCACTTCCCCAACTGTTAGCATCTTGTCTAACCACAGTACAGCGCTCCCAACCAGGGCGTTGGCGAGGGCGCGGCTCTGCTATGGAATCTGCAGGCGTCAGTGAAATATTTTTAAAAATTCTTCATTGGTGAAAGTATTACATAGTCCCCTTTCCCCCATTGACCCCTCTAGCCCTGCCCCCTCCCGGCCCCAGACCTTCAGCTCACTGCTGTCTATGTCCATGGGCTGTGCATGGATGCACGCATGTTCTTTGGTTGTCAGTGGTCCCACGGCCGTCTCTTCCTCCCCAGGATCCAACCCAGGGCTGCTCGTTGCACTCAGTTGCCACGTCACCGTGTCCTCCTTAAATCCGGGCCAGCGTCTCAGTCTTTCTCTGTCTTCCACCGTCTGCGCACTTTTGAAGAATGCTCGCGGGCCGTTTTCTCTCTGCCCGTCTCACCATTCGGGTTCGCCCGATGGGTTCTCATGCCTGAACACGGTGGTTTTGTTTTGTTTTTGGCGAGCACACCACAGACGTGAAGCTGCGCCCTCTGTCCGTCTGTCCGTCTGTCCGTCTTATCGCTGGTGACGCTGACCTCATCACTGGGTCAGGGTGGAGTCGGCCAGGTCTCTCCATGGCAAAGTGATTCCTTTCCCTTTGTCTGTAGTAAGGACCGTATGTGGGACGTTTGTAAATACCTTGTTTCTCACCGCTCTTTCACACGTTCATTTTAGCATTCACTGATGATCCCTGCCCGAAACAATGACTACTGTGCGATTTGCCAAGTGGTGATTTTTCTATTCTCATCCTTCCCTCTGCATCTACTAACTGGAATTCTACTGCAAGGAAGAGCTTTCTCTTCTTCCTCATTTGTCGATTCAGTTATTTATTTGCTCTTGGTATGGACTCATGGATATTTATTTTGCCCCATGGCTTATAACCCATTCGTTCGTGTCCCTGGCGGCCCTAACAAGGTACCAGAGACGGGGGGTGGGGGGTTGGGGGGAGGAAGGGGGGAAGGGGGGAAAGGGAGGACTTACACAACAGAAATTTACTTCTTCACGATTCTGGAGGCTGGATGTCGGAGGTCAAGGTGTCAGCAGGGTGGTTTCCTGAGGCCTCACTCCTGGGCTTGCAGGCAGCCGCCTTCTCCCCGTGTCCTCCCTGGGTCTTCCCTCTGTGCGCCTGTGTCCAATCTCCTCTTTTTATAGGGACGCCAGTCGTATTGGATTAGTGCCCACCTGATGACCTCATTTTCACTTAATCATCTCTTTAAAGACTCTGTCTCAGATCGTCATAGTCTAATGCACTGGGGGTCAGGACTTCCACACATAAATCCGGGCGGTGTGACTCAGCGTGTGACAACCTGTGGCTGTCGGTACCATTCTGCTGCTCACCGCTGGGAACTGCCCTCGAGGCTCCCTGTCCTTCCTCCACGCCCCATGCGGCTCCCTGTCCTTCCTCCACGCCCCACGCGGCTCCCTGTCCTTCCTCCACACCCCACGCGGCTCCCTGTCCTTTCTCCACGCCCCTCGCGGCTCCCTGTCCTTCCTCCACGCCCCTCGCGGCTCCCTGTCCTTCCTCCACACCCCACGCGGCTCCCTGTCCTTCCTCCACGCCCCATGAATTCCCGAGCACTTCTCACTTTCCAGTGCCACAGAAGGTGCCAGGCACGCCTTGTCCTTTTCCTGAAATGATGTGCTTCTCCCAGGGGCCCTCACTCCTTTCACTGGGGAATCGATGGTGAGCACCCCCGGGGTGACTGTTTCAGGCTGGATTCCGAGACCCTCTGCTCGGGCCCAGGCTGGGATCTGAGTCCCGTTTTCAGATGAGTGAGATTCCATAGTTAGTTCATTTCTCTCAGCAGTTTCCTTCCCTGTTAAATGGGGACCATCCCGCCTGCCTCCTAGGAGGGTTGTCAGGACGGAGTGGCTGCGACAGAGAGCGTTTAGCACAGCCCCTGGCTCACAGCCGACGTCTAGTGATACGGAGCTTTTATCATCAGGCGAGCCCCAGCTGCAGCTGAACAGCGCGTCACACGGTGCCATCGGGGGCTGGGACCCTGCCGGGCTCCCAAGGACGTCACAGTGACCTGCGCGGGTGACCTCCGCGTTCCGCTTGAGGAATGCTGTCTTGAGGTCACAGCTGGCATTTTCAGGGGAGCCCACGCGGCAGCCTTTCTCTGGGCTCCCGTGTACCAGGGTCCCCAGCACGCCAGCTCCCGGGAGGGAGGAAGGGACACGGTCTCAGATTTAACTTCCCGTCTCATAGTTTGGTTCCCAGCCGGGCCGGGCCATTTCTCGTGAAACTGGGAACTCTGTGTCTTGTTTCTTCCGCCTTTGGAAGACCAGCCTCCTACGGAGGCAGTGGAGCGTGGGGCAGGGGTCACGTGCCCAGGACTTGCGTTCCCAGCTGCTGGGGTCAGTGGGGTCACGGTGAGTGGGGAGGTCGTGGCTGTAAGATCACAGTGCACCCCGCTCGGCTGTTTATGATGCTGCTTAACGGCCTCTTTGTCTCTTTTGCAGAGAGCACGGATAACTTTGTCTCCAGTAAGTCCGCTCTACCTTTTGCTTTGAAGCTGATTTGTTCTGAGCCTTTGGGTAACTGTGGAATCCAAATGGTCCTCTTCCCTGGGCCACCCAACCCCCAGACCGCTGGCCGCCCAGCACGTCGTGGGAGTGAACGGAGAAAGGGGGCTGCAGAGTGGAAATGTGCTGCAAGCCCACCTCCTGGGCAGCCGCTCGTGCCTCAGTGTCCCCAGGGCGGGTCCTCGGCCTGACCCTGGTGTGGGTCTCCCCGCCCGGATGGAAGGGGTGGGGCGGGAAACACCTGCCCCGTAGAGAGACCTTGTCCATCTCAGCTGCTCCTGAACCTGGAGCCCCTCCACCTGTTAGTGTTTTCCACCTGCTCCAGGGCCCAGAGCGTGGCCGGGCCCCACCTGGCGTGGGGTGGTGATGGACAGGGTCTCCTGTGGCCTGGTGTGTCCTCACACGGGACCACGAGGCTCAGGGTACGAGTGATTGGGGCCAGGACGAGACAGTCCCCAGAGGATCTGGTGCTCTGCTCACGGGCTGTGGGAAGCATGGCTTTTCCCTCGCTCCCCGCGGGAGGGGGCTGAGACGGCGGACAGGGCTGCCTAGGACACCCGTGCTGCCTGGCACCGAGGGGAGCACAGTCTGAGATGCTTTACTTGCCCTCAGTCCTCGAGGACTTGCCCTCTCACAGAGCAGCCTTCTGGGGACTCTGTCAGGGCCTCTCCTGCCCAGGAGGTGGTTCCAGGTGGAGGAGAAACTGACACCCGGTTCCCACCAGCCCTGCTGGTCAGCTGCACTGGCTCTTAGCCTGAGCGGCCAGTGCGCTGTGCAATCTGCAATAGGGGGATGGGTCGTGGGTTGTGTGTGGGGCTCCTGCCTCCTGGATCTCACTGAGGGTGAAAGGGGGAGATGAAGGGCGTCGGGGAGCCACGGGGCGGGGGTTGGGGGGAGGGGGGATGGGAGAGCCTGCAGCAGAGAACAGTCGGTGACAGCCACCGTCACCACCAGAACGCAGGGAATCCGGGCCCTGGCTGGGACCCCAAACTGTCTTCTTGTTGTTGCTGTTTTATGCAACAGCTCATGGTCCACGTGGCCCAGGTGCTATTCTTTGCTCAGAGAATGGGGGTGGGGGGTGAAGGCCCCGCGTTCCTCATGGAGCCGCCCCTGGGCTGTCACAGCCGGGCAGCCAGGCAGGGCCTTGGTCTCTGGGGAGGTCGAGCAGTAAGAACAGGCTCAAGGGCATGCTGTCCAGCATGGACTCCGGGCATGGGGATGGCATGGAGCCCCTGCACCCCGGCCAGGAAGCTAACCCTCCTCCTTTCCGTTTGGTTTGCAGTCTATGAAGTGAGCCCCACACCGCCTATCACTGTGACCCACAAGCCAGAGGAAGACACTTTTGGGGTGAGTGACTTCTGGGTTGGGAGGGGCCATTTCACATTTCATCCGAGCAGCGAGCAGCGGACGCTCCCGATACCGCCCAGCTCAGAGCCAGGACGTACGTACGTACGGCAGAAAGAGCCCTGACAAGTGACCTCCTTTCAGGCGCGAGCCCTCCCTTGTTTGACGAGAGTAATTCATTGTTTGAGGAAGTCTTTGAGGGGCTGCTCCCAGCCCTGGAAACCCCCGCGCTGCTAGGAGCCTGGCTGGGCCTGATTCGAAGGGGCTGCTCGCTGGGCAGCCTCGTAGGAAGTCGAAGTTTCCCCACCAGCTCCCTGGTGGGTGCCCAAGCCCTGCCCCACCCCTGACTGCCAGAGCCTGAGATTTCTCAGGGGGAAGAGTCCAGATCTCCCGGAATTCCCTGGGTAAGAGTATCTGTAGAGAACTTCAATATGAATATGCAGAATTTGCTTGCTAACCAAAACACAAGACCAGAGACAGAGGCCTCACGAGGCTTCTGAGCGCATCTGTGAGGCCTCCCCCAGGCCAGAGGCTCAGAACCCTGAGCGCATCTGTCAGGCCTCCCCCAGGCCAGAGGCTCAGAACCCTGAGCGCATCTGTCAGGCCGCCCCCAGGCCAGAGGCTCAGAACCCTGAGCGCATCTGTCAGGCCGCCCCCAGGCCAGAGGCTCAGAACCCTGAGTCCCTGAGGTTTCCCTAATCAGGGTGGATCCTTTGTTAACTGGATGCTGTTAGGGCCTCATCATTGACTTCCTCTGAAGGGGGGTGGGAGGGAGCCTTTTTCCTGCCAAGGGCCATTGGATATTTACAGCATCACTCCCGGGCCATACACATGATCAGCTTGAAAACTAGCCTGCTGCGTTTGGTCGAACATTTAATGAACGCACCCCGAATGCCTTGGCAGGGCCAGGCCATGTGATCTCAGGGGCCTTATACGGCCCTCGGGCCGGACGTCCCCCACCCCTGGTCTAAAGGCTCCTGGGGTGGCAGAGTTCCCTGCGGGCTCCTGCGACAAAGTAACTGTCCCACGCTTTGCCCACCCAGGTGTCCATCGCCGTCGGGCTCGCCGCCTTTGCCTGCGTGCTGCTGGTGGTTCTCTTTATCATGATCAACAAGTACGGCCGACGGTCCAAATTTGGCATGAAGGGTAAGGTGGGCCTTGCATTGGCCAGGGTCTCATGGGGGCGGGGCGGGGCTCTCTTCAATGCCGTTTTCACTTCCCTGGCTCTCGGAGGCAGGGCCTCTGTGATGCCCTGAAGTGGTCCCCCTCCTGCCTGCACCTTTACTGTGTTGGTAGTGATGGACTGAACGCTGCGCTGGGATCTGTGGGGACCAGCTGGGAGCCTCTGGTTTTGCTGGGACAGCCGGGCTGGTGCATGAGGGTGATTTGGGAGGGAAGTTGCATTTGAGAGCCAATGAGAGGACTTGTTTCTTTACATTATCAGAGGGCAGACGGACTGCTTGTTTGAGTAACTTGGTTCTTTCCTTGCTGCCCCGTGCGTGGGGTGGTGGCGAGAAGGTCCCAACAGGGTTAGATGGAGGGTGGCTCCTCGCAGAGTCCCAGGACGGGTGCCACGGGTCACCTGACTGCCTCGATGCTGGCCAGCTTCCGAGACCCACGCACTCCACCCTGTCACCGCAGGGCGGGGCGAGGATGTGGCTCTACGCCGAGGCTTGGGTGGGGGAGTGGCACGGAGGGGTTAACATGGTGAATTAGCGTTGCATCTGCCGGGTCCCTGGGCCCCAGGGGTGGATCTGACCCAATGGCTCAAAGGAGGCTGGGCCCTTGAACTGCAGAAACTTGACTTTCAAGCTACACTCTGAGCCAGGTTTGCTTTATGGCTGATGTTAGATGGGAGATGGGCAGGGTGGCTGATGGGAGGTTCCAGGAGCCATCGGGGGGAACCAGCTGGGGTTCAGGTTGGGGTCTTCTGGGGAGATCATGGGAGCCAGAGAGATGCATCTCTATGTATCTGCACGTGATCTGGTGTCTGTGGGGGAAAGGGGGTCCTGGCCTTGGGCTCCGGGACTGACAGCAGGTGTGACCATGGGATTCACGGGGACAGTGTTCCCGAGACTCACATGCAAATGCTTGCGTGTTCATACCCGGCTGTCGGAGCGTGGAGGTTGTAAGTGACTGGTTCGTAGCTCTTCACTATTCTTATAGTTTTTGCTGACTCCTCTAAGAGCCCAGAACACTGCTATGTAGCAAGAGACACCCACAGAAACACAGGAAGGCAGGGAACTCGGGGTGCCGCCCGGCCTCCCAGAAGTCGGGGCCTCTGCGCTCGCTTTCTGCCCTGCTGAACTCAACCAAAATCCCCCCCCCGCCAACCAGGTTTCCCCGATCAGATGAAATATTTGGACCAGAGAAACGTGTACTGCAAATGATAAGGAAGGGACAGAAGTTCTGGCCTGCTGCCGCCTGACTTCAACACGACCAGACCCCGTGGGCACCTTGATTGCAGATGTTTTATCTGCCAAACAGGATTTCACAGGGTTAGGAGATGGACGGCCTCCGAGCGCGCTCCCAGCCCTCGGTCTCAGCATGATCCGCGGGCTCCGGGCTTTGGGGCTGGCGCTATTGCGTGCGCGAGGCTTCCTCCGTGGGGTACCTTCCTAGGTCTCCCTCCTCCACCCGAGGAAACATCGGGCCTCCCCCGAGGGGGAGCACCACCAGCTGAGACCCTGCCACAGCCTGGGCAGCACGGAGAACGGATTTTTCCTATAAATTGTCCCAGTGTCTGGACCAGCGTGGCCCCATGTCGGACGGCGTAGAGCACCATGGTGCCTCTTGAGTTGTCTAATCACCTCTGAATGCCGCCGCACAGACAATACAGATGCCCCCTATTAGTCCCCGTTTCTCAAGCTGGGACACACCTGGTCCGGAGGAGGACGGGCGCTGATGGAGGAGACTTGCTTCCCAGGCTCAGAGGACGTCCTGCATTTCTTCCGGGAAATGCGGGGGACCGCATGGCAAGGCAGCGGATGCTGGAAGGTGGGGAGGGAAGCGTGACAGGAGCTGCTGGCCGGGCTTCGGTAAAAGACCGTCGGTGCTCCATTGGCGAGCACTCCCTGTCCTCCCCGTGGTTGGAGGGGCGCCGGGCCCCCGATGGGCACTCCAGGAGCGCCCCCCGGGAGTCACACCAGTTAATAGGCACTTACAGCAGAGTGGTTGCCGATTTGATTGTGATTGGGGGTTATTACCAGTTTTTCCATAAACAGATGGTAACTGCCCTCTGAGTGGCTGGGAGAGCCGTGCCAGCGTCTTGATTTGGAGGGGCTGGCGCCTGCCAACACATCTCAGGGGCTGCTGCCCGCGCGGGTGTCTCGTTATCCCTCTGGTTAGCTGCCCGGTTAAAGGGAAGCACGGGGCGTGGGAAGGAGTCATTCCGCCCCGTCTCCTAACCTTGGAACGTGGGCTCAGGGCTCCTTCCAGCTGCATGGGAGGCGGGGGAGGGCCTGGGAGGGGGGTACTGGACGTCCAGGGCTGGAGGGGAATATCATGTGTCCGCAGCCAGGAGCACAGAGCAGGGGATCGGTGCCAGGGAAATAGTGAGGATGTAGATGGAGGCTACTCAGACCATCGAAAGGGGCCCCGGGCCCTGGCGAGGGAGGGCACGGCTGGCGCCATTGATGAGAGCTGCTTTTGCCCGGTGGGGTCAGGGGTCAAGGGCAGTGCCAAGCAGCAGTGAACCTGGTAAAGAACCTGGCATTCCTGACTTCCTGCACTAAGTCCATTCTTCCTTCTGCTTCTCCCGTCACTGCTCAGTGCTCCCCAAGACCCCAGTGCCTTTGCTCAGACTGCCTCAAAGGGTCCCCACCCCCCAGCCTCATGAGTTCCCAGGTCCCTCTCAGCTCAGTCTTCACGCCCCCACGCAGGCCTGCCTTGGTGCCAGGGCGGGAGGCGGCCCTCTCACTGGCCTTTAGAGCCTCACCCACATGCACCTTCCTGCCCTGGCACCGAGGCTTCCTCCCCAGCTCGCCCCTGGTGCCGCCACCGTTAGGGTCAGACAGGCCGGGGGTCGGATCCCGGATCGGCTGCCTGGGAGCAGTGGCGCTCCTGTGACTCATTAACTATCCTGGCCTCCGTGTCCTCGCTGACAAATGAGAGGGATAATCCTTACCAGGCAGGGTTTTATGAGAATTAAATGAAATTATGTATATAAAGCAATTAGCTCCATCCCTGGCCATGTAGTAATCACTCAGTGACTGTGGCGAGGGGAGCAGTGACGATGGCTTTGGCTCCATTCATACAGCCGTGAGCAATGCACAGGCCCATCGTAGCTGTGGTCCGCAGCGTCCAGCCGCTCCCCTGACCAGTGAGGTCAGAATCTCAGTCGTTTCTAAAGCCGCCCAGGTGTGCGAGGCCAGTGTGGCCCAGTGGTTGAGCATCGACCCAGAAACCAAGAAGTCATGGTTCAACTCCTGGTCAGGGCACATGCCGGGGTTGCGGCCTCGATCCCCAGTGGGGCGCGTGCAGGAAGCAGCTGATCAGTGATTCTCTCTCATCATTGATGTTTCTATTCTC